TATATATATATATATATATATATATATATATATATATATATATATATATATATATATATATACATAATTGAGTTAATTCCTATTGTAACATTAATATGTCTCTTTATTAACTTGTCTCTGTATTTGAAAATAATACTCTTTTCATCATGGAACAGTAAATGGAATATTTACTGCAACGTTTTCTTTTCACATGTGTAACAACGCGACTTTTTACAGAAAGCTCATTTAATTATCATGATTAAACATTCGCGCTTTCCACCATTAATTTATTTTCCGTGTAAAAGGGGATCAAAGTAAGCTTGTAGTAACATCGACCAGTTTTAATTTCAGTAGCGTAAACATTTCGGTCAACGTAAAAAACATATTTCACGTACAAGATTAAAGTTGTATGAAAAATGGAAGCTCTTGTGTTACGTAAAACTTACTTAATCCGACATAAAATTAGCACCAACGTCTCATTGAAATTTCTTAAGTATAATATATTTTATTTCCTTATAAAAGAAAATTTGTATTACAATCGTAAAATAGAAAATATAGCTGAAAATATTTATTCAGATGTTCAGGTGTTATTTACAACAATGTGAAACGTATAAATCGAAGAATATACGTTTTTTATGTACAAGGAACTCTATTCTTCGAAAGAAGAAGTGTGTAGAAACCGACACGCAATTGTGAAATTAAAGTGAAAAAGTAAGAAACGCACGAGTTCAGACCGATCGTTTGCGCTTCTCGGTTCGCCGAATGAATTTCAAGCCTAAGTTTAAGTCATTACGATGATAAACGATCTTTCGGTCGGTGAGTTAATATCGATCCGCGACGAGCCACTAACGCAGTCGCTGTCAAACGTACCGGATCGCGCAGTTACACCTCGACGGTTACGAAGTCGTAGTCTACAGGATATTGTGGTTTAGATAAAGGATTTCTCGATCGCCACTGTGCGTGGTCGGGCAACGAGGGGTTGATTCTGTCCTGGAGATAAGTGGTGGTGGATCGCATAGGGGCGCACGACGCGTTCGTTCTCGCGCGGGTGAAGCACACGCCAGTAGCATCGCGGTGTCGAACCGGCGCGGTTCCTCTCTTCTTCCGATCTCATTGCTCTCTACTTTTGTTCTATTTTCAACTTTCGCTACTACCGAACTACGAGCATCGGTCCGTAAGTACGCGTTGGATGATGTTTAAAGTTGTGGATCGAACGTGGATCGAACGTGAATTAGAGCCGATATACTCGCTGTGGATTCGGCGTTATCAATGCGGGAGAGGAATGCATCTTGTAGATGAATCATCGCGTTTTTCATTGTCATGTGAAAAAAGGGAAAAAAAAGAAGAATGTGAGAGTTACTTTGATGTGCCAGCAGCGTCGACATTTGAATTCATTGAAATTATATCGGGTTTGAAGACTGTTTCTGCGCGAGCTCGTTCCTATACACGTGAACCGCGAGATTCTGTCGAGGAGTTTTACGGAGGAGAAAAATCGACAGCTTACTCCTCGGGGTAAACTTCGCGAGAAGCAGGAAAAATGTGGTGCAACCGACCAGCGTTATTCATCTCGAGTGTCGATAACGTGTCGATTAACCCGTGAAAGTGATATTAAAACTGGATCATGACAAGATTTTTTTTTGTTTTAACAGATTTTTTTGTTAAGTATGTAGAAGCATATAGTTTAAAGAATATCTTTTTTCTCAAATCAAAGTAATATTCCGATATATTTATTGATTTGTTTATTTATTGACATATATATTATTTTTCATATATATGATAAAAAAATTTCATATAAATCAACGTGAGTATTTGATTATTTTCCAGTTTATTTGTCATCAAAAATCTTCGTAGAAATTTTAGAAATTCTAACTTCTACCGTTAAAATAAATTTATGCGCGTTTGTTTATTATTCACGTCACACTTATTTGCGCCGCATCTCCACTATCCTCATCTATGCATGGATATAAATGATTCAATATATTTAAACGATAGTTCTCTGTGCGCATGAGATATAGAATTTTCCGGGGTTTTGCGCGCGTCTCCTTTTATCCACGAAAAATTTAGTCAATTCGATGCTTACTTCTGCTTAGCCATGATTTGACCGACTGCTATTATTTATGTATATGTTTTTGTATTTAATATTGGATATTTTTGCAAAATCTTACAATCTTCTTCTAAAAATTTATTTAAATGAAGAATAATTGTTACTATCTGCTACTAATACGAAAGGAATCACGTCACGAAAAATTCGGTCCTTAAAATCGTAAAGTTTAAAAATCAATTGCGCCTTGACATATTTCTACAGTAAAAGTAGATATGAATTAATTTTAACGATTTATAGATTAAAGAAGATGCGACGTTTAGAAGACGAAGATGCGATTCAAAGATTGAATTTTATATATTTACGTGCCATAACGTAGAGGTGACTAAACTTTTATTCTTTTCTTTATTATTAATTGTTATTGCCGTTGAATTTTTCTTTTGCGACAAAGGATGTCGCAAAAAAAAAGTATAGAAATACGTATTCTATAGCAGACCGTCGAATCTAAAAGTTTCCATTGAAAGTATACATTTACTATTATTGATACTATCTACCTCTTTTAGGATTATAGCATACTCTTGTTATATCTATTAAAATTTCCGTAGAATAGAATAAAACATATTTTTCTTTCAATGATATGTATATTTCTGATATCGAGTCTTCTATTGTATCTTTTTACAAGATGTAAAAAGTACAAAGTATAAATCTTGGTAGACACGAAGTATATATAAAAAGGTCAATCCTAAAATATTTAATATTACTCGAAAATTCCGAAATATAATTAGTAAGTATAGTTTTTGAAATAATATTGTTCTTGGCCTATCAATGATAGAGAATGATACAATGTAGTAAAAGTTTATTAACGGGAAAAGTTTATTAACTTCATGCTAACCTTCTGTGAGCATGAAGTATTCAATTCTGCATATCTGACACGACAGCTTTGACACGATGCTGCGCTATAATAAAATGACTTTGATGATATATGGAATAAAGTTATTTCTTGTAAATACATATTCAAATATTTTTCCATTTACATCTCGTGGAACATATCGTTGTCCTGAATGTACGCGTAGTCGTGACACGTGCATTCAAATGCCATCATATCAATGTTCGGCAAAAATGTCAAACATTATATTGAATAAAACTTGCCCTATCACCCGTATCTATAAATTGAACAGTTACTTTCGTTCTCCACGTTATTATTTCGTACTGTTATACAAATCTCATATATAACTGAAGAGGCTTTTAACGTCAATGCACTACATTCCATTACAGTTGATCACTTCTTTACTTACTCTTTGCAATTATTTTGGTGCAGTTCGAAGCAAGACAAAATAGAAGAATCTAACTTTACTGGTAGATTTCACATTACTAAGAGAAAGTACATTATTTGTCTTTTAAATTTAACACGATATTTTACATCGATAATTCTCTCGCATATAGAAAATCATTGAGTAAACAATAAGTTATTAATAATTACACACCGCTAAAGTCGATATTATAACATTGAATATAGTTTCATACATTAAAATACCATTATAACATTGAATATAGTTTCATACATTAAAATACAATATAATACACGATTATACTACATAATTCATAAATTACATAATTTATAAGCCACATGTGTAACTATTACATAAATAAAGCAACTATGCCAGCTATTTTCTTAATTAGATACTCATTGTATAAATGCGCGGTAGTTACCACACATGTCGACCTGAACATTGAACTGCGCATAGACCGGCATAATAGCCTTAATATTTATTAGATATACAGACCGGCATAATAGCTTTAATATTTATTAGGCGTAGGGACTCCCCGATCAAACATATCGCGCCTATACACTCATGCACTACGACCACCGATTGTTCAACGAAAAAGATACGAACATTATAGCTTTTTCCTTCACGTGATTTTAAACTCTACGTTATAAATTTCACGGTTTTTTAATAATATTTGTATCATGGTATTTATTGAACAATTAACAGTCACGATACACGAATATACTGACGCAATACGAGTGACTAAAAAGTTCCAGTTACTTCATTAGACCATTATACTAGTCCGCGTACAGCTGCCTGACACCAACGCGAACGCGTCACCTCTATTGATCGATATTCGATTGCGCTTCTTTTGGCCTTTCGTACAAATGCAATCTTAGTATACTATTGCTCAAAGCAAATCGCATTGAATATGCAATTGAAAGAATTTCTTTGTGTGACTTATACAGGATATAGGGAGAGGAAGAGAGAGAGAGAGCTATCTTTACGAGAAAAACTTTTTTTCAATTCTATTTCATTCTAACCAGAGTGAGAATTTTTGTGTTTGCGCGCTATTTCGGATAGCAAGTTGTAGGAGTATTTCGACAAAAAGTGAAATAGAAATAATAAATATAGACAGGAGTATGCGAGTGAAAGCGCAACAAACATCGATGTCATGCAACGAGATTAAAAATAATCGTACGAAGAGGGATATTTGAAACCGATATGATTATTTCCGATTAAGACTTTTCGTCGACGCTTATCTCATTTATCCAAGGTTTACACTCGAAAAGTACTCGGTATTTTAATTGATATTTAAATTCCTCGTTGCTCTTAGTTTGCGCTTCATATCCTGGAAAGATGAGAAATTGAGATGTAACACTATCAAAACGAAATCTCCCTGTAATTGTCGTCGTCTCTTTCATGACGCTTTGCTAATAAACATCCATTCGTTGCATCATCCGCTTTGATGGTATTGCAATGGAAGGATTGAAGAAAATAGATCGGTAGAAATGTCTCGTTAAAATACTGTCGATGACAACCTTTCTCTTCTCCCACTTCTCTCTCTTTTTCTTCTCGAGATGGTGTCCCGCAATTTTATTTCTACTCTCTCATAACCAATATAACGGGCTGCTTTGCAGTAAACAGATATATCAAGTACGAATCAAATTGAGAAACTTTCTAATTAAAATATTTCATCTTCTTTTTCGTACGTTCACGTTTGATGTAAGCTCCTGAAGTTTACATTTGTTGAGCTTCTACTGTGATCGAATGTCCCGTGTATCGATTCTATTACAAAGCTTCGCGCTTAAGTATACATTTGAACGAATCTCGTCGATGTTAGGCAACGCAAGCTTTCGCGAAGTTTATTTGTATCATCGAATTTCAATTTCGAGATGCTTGACGAAAATAGATTCCGGAATTCTTCCAGCCAGATGGTAGGGTCGTGTATTCAACTTGTTCACCATACTGTTCATGCCGACGTTCGGCTGATAACGGTTCAATAAATAACTTCTTTAACTAGTTTAAACTACCCGGTAATTACTCGTGTTATTGCAACGTGTCAAGGGGATGAAATTAGAGGGAGTGGATGGAGTGTCAAGGTTTCATGGAAGACTATATTTTCCGCAAGAGTAATAGAGAATAACTGTACTAAATTTACTATACTATACTTATAACTATATTAAATTTAGTCCAGATTTAGCCAAAAGGTTTAGGGGTTAATAAGGAATATACGGACAAATATTCTGTTATATGTCAAAACATATATACGTGAGAAAAATACACGTATGCAATCGTGCCTGTAAAATGCGCGCATATTGCCAATATCAGATTGACCAAAGAATCGAGAAAAAAACATATATACGCGTTGCAATTTTGAACTTCCAGTTTTTGTATAACTTCCAGTTCCGCGGAGTCAGTTGAAATCTGGCACAACCGTAAATATATTATCGCAAATTGCCAAACGTTTGCTTGGTAGATTAGGAGTTATCGTAAGTCGACTCTTAGGGGACTTTCCGAGTAAAACGGAGAATATTGTGCGCTTTCCTACGTTCCGTAATACTAATATACACTTTTCCCGCCTAGTTCTACTAAACCGCCCTGAAAAATTTCGTGACACTTTCTTAAACCGTTCGTTTTTCTTACAAATGCTATCATTTCTTACATTCCTTGATTAAAGATAGCAAGAAGTCTATCGAACAAACACTTAGCACATGATGTTCTGCATAAACTAGGTCAAGGTCTCAGGTTCGCAATCTACGTTAATTGAAGATTATAATAGGGACACAGAGTAAGTTGATACATCTGCGATAAAGACACTATTCTCATTATTCCAGTTCGTCTCTCGTTTCTACCCGACCATTC